TCTCACGAGTGCACGGCGTCTGTCGCGCCTCGGATTTGGGTTCTGGGGCGTGACAGATTTAGTGGTATCAGAGCTTAGGTTTGATTGAGATTTTGTGATGTGAGAGCCTAGGTTTAAGTAAATACCTAGGATATGTGTTGAACTTGGTTAGTTAAGGGATTTAGAACCGTGGTGAGACGAGTGATGGGGTTATACAAGGGACGATTCTGGTTTGTGTTGCTTGAATTTTCTGATCCGCTTTGATGAGATAGTAATTCAGTTAGTTCCTGTTATCTGCCGTTGGTGAGCATTTTTCAAGTTAATCTTGCTCACTATACCTTTAGGACCTTGTTTCGAACTTGGTCCCTTGTGATAGTATGTTCGGTTTTGGTTGTGGAAGGATATATGAGGCCTTCCACATTAGGTCTGTTTGTTTGAGTATTCATCTGGGCATTCATACGTGAATGCAAACATGGACATACATGAGCATATACACGCATACGTGCATGCACACATGGGCATTCATACATGCATGCATAAAGGCATTCATTCATACATGCATATGCATGCATTCATCCGTTCATGATTTGATATATCCGAGTGATGTTTATCCGTCTCGGATAGGGTTCCATCATTTAGTTGGAATCATCATTAGATTCCTTGCCATGTTGTGTTTGATGAGTGCCGGGTCTTGATTTGAGTCAAGGGCACCACATAATCACGCCGATAACTCTCGAGTTTAGTTACTTGTGTTAAGGCGTGAAGTTATCTCCCGCCTCCCAAATAGCCATTGGAGAGGGTGGAGATTAAGAAATTGTTGTTGGCTTGTTAGGGCAGTGATGAGTACCCAGTCCCCGTAAAATGAATTTGACTGTTGTATCTTTGTGATTGTTAGCCGTGCATCTTGTGATTGATTTTCTTGTTATGGTTGTGGTGTGATATCAAAGTGGCGCAGCGGAAGCGTAGTAGGTCATGTTCTGACCATAGAAAGTTGGTGAGGCGTTTGTTTTGTCTTAGATTGTGTGAAGTCATTCACCAGTCTAAATGGTACTAGATTTGAGTTTTGGGGACAAAACTCCTTTTTAGGAGGGGTGGATGTAATATCCCAAAATTTTGGGGGTATTTTAGCATTAAATAAGGGACTTAATTG